ATTGTATATATCAATAGTTCTCTGTCTTTTATTGCTTAGCAGTAGTCCAGTGAAGGGACAGGAGGGTCCAAGATCCACTGCGGGTTCTTGACTTTACACAAGAAAGAGTTCAAATGTGAGCCAGCATATGGTTTCACGGGAAAGTGAGTTTATTAGTGAAGCAGTGAGACAAAGAACAGGCTACTCCATAGAAAGAGCAGCCTCCCTTAAGCAGAATTTACTTCCTTTATTGAGGTTCATTTAATTGGGAATTCAGTAAGGGGGAGGAATATTCAGGATTTTCCTGGGAAAGGAGTAGAGATTTCTCAGAGGAGCTCTGTAGGCCTTTTTGTGTCTGGATAGAGGCTTTCCATTTCCATCATGGTGGCATGGGGTGTGTTGTTTACCACACTGATGTATTATAGTGAAGCAAGGGGGTGACCTTTAGGTGAAATGAGTAGCCATGTGGGGATCCAGCTGCTCTCTGCCTGTTCTTAGCCATATTTCTGGTGGGTATGTGGTCTTACTTCTTGACAGTTCCTGTAGCTTTTTTGGTTTGTGTTTATTCTGCCACATATTCACCTGTTGATGGACATTTGTGTTGTTTTAAATTTGAGACCATTAGATTGTTATAAAGTTCTTTTCTACTCAGTGTTTATAAAAAATTTTGCCAAGCCCTAGCCAGTTTGGCTCAATGGATAGAGTCTGTGGACTGAAGGGTCCTGGGTTTGATTCCAGTCAAGGGCACATGCCTGGGTTGCAGTCTCGATCCCCCGGCCGGGGGGAGGGGTGGTGGCGGTGGGGAGTAGGGAGGAGCAGTGTGTGCAGGAGACAGCCGATCAATGATTCTCTCTCATCACTGATGTTTCTATCTCTCCTCCCTTCCTCTCTGAAATCAATAAAAAACATATTTAAAAAAAAATAGCCAAAATGTTTTTCTAGTAGTGTTAGGGTTTCATATTTTTACATTTAAATCTTAATATACCTTGATTTATTTGGGGAATAAAATATGCTAATTAAGATGGGCCTAATTAAATTTTTCAGAGAAGTATATTATGATAATATTATATATTTTATTATATATACTAGAGGACATTCGTGCACTGGGGAACAGAGGGGGGGCGGTCCTCAGCCCAGCCTGCACCCTCTCATAGTTCGGGACCCCTCACTCCTTACCACCCGCCTGCAGCAGAGGCGGGAGAGGCTCCTGCCACTGCCACAGCACTCACCAGCTGTGAGCCCAGCTTCTGGCTGAGCGGTGCTCCCCCTGTGGGAGTGCACTGGCCACCAGGGGGCATCTCCTGAGTTAAGCATCTGCCTCCTGGTGGTCAATGTGCATCATAGCGACTGGTTGCTGTTCGGTTGATTTGCATATTTAGGTTTTATTATATAGGAATATAGTATCCTTTGCACTAATTTGATGTGTGATCTTTTTATATATTAAATGTTTATACATATTTGAATTTTTTATAGTTCCATATTGTATACCATTGAACTCTTATCTATTCCTAAATTAGTACTACATTGGTTAAATATATCGTTGTGAACAGATTATTATCTGGCAATTTATACTCTTTACACTCTTGTTTAAACCTTTCTTAATTACTTTCAAATTTTTATTCATCCATCCAGTTAAATTTTAGAACAGTATTATTGATGTATAAGAGATAAATCCCTTTGAAATTTTGGTTGGAATTTATGATGTTGTTATTTATAATAAATCTATATTTAGCCTTTGTGCCAAGAGCGTCTAAAACCCTTAGAATTTCCTACGTGATGAGTGATGCTAAGGGAACATTTGGAATGCAGCTAAGACTTGGGGTTGGTTTCCAGGAGAACCAACCATGTGATTAGAGGGTGGGAACTTTCTGTCTTTTAGAAGAGTTTGAGTAGAGGAGTGGAAGGAGAGAAAAAGCAAGGAGAGTAGGAGGATACCTCATCTCGATTGATGAGAAGTGATTGGAGGCGTGATCTACGGGATTTCTGATGAATTGAAAGTTGCCATGAAGCTGATGTCCAGAGTATTCTAGCTCCCTGGCAAAAGGATGAACTCCAGCATAACATACCAGTATATGCTGATTGTGATATAGGAATTTTTAGGGGTGAAATAGGCAGGTTTAGGAAATTTTAAAAATTAAGGGTCCAAGGAAAAAACACCAGGCGACAGAGCAGAGGTTATATTTCCATAAGACAAGGGAGCTGGGAGAAGGTACATTTCCATAACAAAAGGGAATCCGGGTGCAGTTACATTTCCATAAGGCAAGGAAGAGGCAACAGCTATATTTCCATAAAAAGATCTATATTTACAAAATAAAGGAGGCAGAAAGCCCAGAGGGAATGGGAGAACAATGAGGGAGGAGGGCCTCACACATCCCAAGTGCTGCTTGACCCTTGAGCTCAGGAGTTGCTATAGTGACCAAATCAAAGGGAGTATTGACCAATCAGAGGGGATATCAGGACACAAGAACTGCAGCCTTTATAAAGGGGGGGGGCGGACCTTGGTGGGACTCTTTCCTCCTCCCTGAGTGGCAGTCTGTGCTGTGAGATTTTTTCCTCTTCCCCTTCCCCACGTGGGAGTCTGTACTTGTTCTTCAATTAAGTTTCCACCTTTGCTATACTATCTTCCATCTGTGGATTCATTCTTTGACTCCGATGGACAAAGAATCTGGGGAACCATCCTGCCCAGGGGAACACTGTGTGTTCCAGTGCAAAAGTCCCATATCAAATGTAGAAAGTTTCTCTTCTTCATGTGACTGCCAACTCAGTTACATAAATAGTATTGTAGCACATGATGTGATTGAATTTTAACATAGTTTGCCACTTATCAACTAAAATATTCAAGCATATTGTTTAGATGACAAGATATCACTGACATTCAAAACCACTGTGTACAGAGGCAGTTGTTCCTCAGCAGGCTGTACAATGGTACTGAGAGTAGAAATAGTGAAGTGTAACATGTGCTTTGATCAGGAAGTAGAGAGGCTGTGAAAATGATTCACAGGGCACCTGTCCTGATCTGGGTTTGTATAGTTAAAACTTTTTACTGCAACCCAAAGTAAAAAATACATTTTATTCGTGTTAGGCAAAATGTTTCTGGGTATTAAAGTGACAGAGCCATCTTAGGAAGCAAACCAGTTCACCCAGGGAGAGATGAAGGGAATATTCCATTTTTTTTTTTCTGTTAACCATTTGCTTTTTTCTTTTACTTTTTATTGTTGAAAGTATTACATAGGTTGCCCTCCTCCCTTTTTTAAAATATATTTTTATTGATTTTAAAGAGGGAGAGAGAAGTAGAAACATCAGTAACGAGAGAGAATCATTGATTGGCTGCCTCCTGCACTCCCTCTATAGGGGATCAAGCCCACAACCCAGGCATGTGCCCTGACCAGGAATCGAACCATGACCTCCTGGTTCATAGGTCGACACTCAACCACTGAACCTCACCAGCTGGGCTGAAGGGAATAGTCTGGCGTGGATAAGTGGGCCCATGACCTGTTTACTGCTTTGGATTTACAGCTTTAACAATCATGGGACACTTAGTTGATGGAATTCTGGAGTTGCCGGCCTCTTTTTTCCATTTCTCAGTTAAAAATGAAATTTGTCCCAAGGACTTAGGATTCATGACAAAGATGTGAGGTGAAACAAAAGTTTCACCAACCAGATAAATCCTTACTTAATTTGTTGTGTCTGATGGTTTTTATTTTAGTTAACTTTTTAATAGCAGTCACAACCTTTTGAATTAATCTCTTGGACCAATAATAAATTATAACCTTCAATTTAAAAAGTATGGTTTGGGGAAGTTTAGGAAAATTTCTCTGAATCTAAGTGGCTGTGTTTTTCCTTAAGCTCTTCATGTGTGGGTAGCACCATTTGCTAGTTGATAGCACTTTTGTATTATCTAACTTAGGAAGAAATTATACTTGGCAGTTAAGTTTAGATTTAAGATTGCATATTTGATCCCAGGAGTTCTAAATTTATAATTTGTTATTTATTGTCTGTAATTTTTCTCAGGACCATGTGTTCCTCAAGGCAAGGAAGTTAAATTTACGTTCTTACCTTCATATCCCCTAAGATGATGTATTATGTTGAGTAATTGCTAAAAACCGTTTTGTAGCACAATTAAAGTAATGGCTAAGTAATGAATAGGTCATGTGTTTAAATTGAATAATAGAACTCCAGAACCTTGAAATCTCAAGATTTTAAAAATTAGTTTGGCTATCTTACATAAATTGAGTTTTCAAAATGTTTTTATTTTCTTCATAGTATAACTTTTGTGTGTTTTTTGTACTTTGCAGTTTCCATGTGTTTTTATATCATACTAGAGGCCCAGTGCACAAAATTTGTGCATGGGTTGGGTCCCTAGGCCTGGCCAGCAATCAGGACCAATCAGGGCCTTCTGGCTGCCAGCTGGGGCCATCCTTTGTTCCGCACTGTCCCCTGGTGGTCAGCACATTACATAGCGAACAATTGAACTCCGAGTCTCTCGGTCGAACTCCCAAGGGGACACATTGCATATTAGCCTTTTATATATATAGATTATGACAATTGAAATTAAAATAGCCCAATTAAGCACACATTCCTGTTTCTATTGTGCTAAAAGTCAAACCTGATAGCTCAGTTTAATAAGAGAGACATCATGATCTGAGCCTCATCTGTGTCTATAGATTCTCCTCATTGTCTACCACCCAAATTACTAGCTATATCAATTCCCTGTGATTTTCCCTAATTCATGATATTTTAAAAACTCCATACCTTTGTAGGCATTGTTCCCTCTGACTGAAGTGCCATCCACCCTCCTGCCCAATCCTCAACTTTGCTTGAATAATTTATACCTCTCTCCATGTTTCAACTTCCTGGCAATGTCTAGCAAAAGTGGAATGAGACCAGTCTGGAGGATATTAGAGTAACCAGTAAATTAAGTGAATGAATAAATGAAAAAATGAGAAAAGAAGAGCTAAAAGCCATGTGCCGCCCTTTGGAATGTATGACTGCCAATGTAATCATCTTTCTGCCATGAACAGGGTCTCTCTTGTGATACCTCCATGCCAAAGGTCCCGCTATGCCACCTACTTTGATGTTGCTGTTCTTCGCTGCCTACTCCAGCCCCACTGGTCTGAGGAAGGCACTCAGTGGTCTCTGATGTATTATCTACAAAGGCTGAGACACATGTTGGAAGAGAAGCCAGAAAAGCTCCCAGAGCCAGATATCCCCCTCCTGCCCAGACCCAGGAGCAGCTCAATGGTGGCAGCAGCCCCCTCACTGGTGAACACCCACAAAACCCAAGTAAGAGAGACTTGGTTCACTGTCATTTGAATCAATAACTGTGGTTATAACAGATTCTCTTTTTCTTCTGTGTATCCAGCGCCTACTTATCCCAGTGCTGAATATTTGGCTGGTGGTTACTGTGATGCTACTAACCTTTCTCTTGCATCTTTTACGGTTGGACCCCTTGGCTGGTCTTTAGCATTTAATTTCCCATTCAAAGAAGTGCTATCTCAATTTCCTTTTCCCACACTAATCTAGAGTAAGCCTCCGTTGATCCAAAATAATGGAAAATTGGGTCTTAGATAATCAAAGCACTACTTAATAGAGACTTCACACATATAATATGTTAGTTACCAATATTATAAAATGTGTGATGCTAGAGTTTTACTTATGATTTAACCTCTTTTCCACATTTCAAAAGTATCTAGTGCCTCAGCGTCATCATTAGGAATATTGTTTTCTGATATATAGTCTTGTTATTTATTATAGACTAGAGGCCCGGTGCACAAATTCGTACACAAGTGGGGTCCCTCGGCCTGGCCTGCAGGGATCTGGTGGAAACCAGCTCTCCAACATCCCCCAAGGGGTCCTGGAATGTGAGAGAGTGGTTCTCGGGTGATGCACCCTAGAATCAGGCTCCCTCCTCTCTGGTTCCAGGTGCATCACCCGAAAACGGCAGCTGCCAAGTCACCGCAGCTTGGCAGCTCTTGCGTTGAGCATCTGCCCCCTGGTGGTCAGTGCATGTCATAGCTACTGGTCAGAAAGTCCAACAGTCAGACAGTCACTTAGGTTTTTATATAAATACTAGAGGCCTGTTGCACAAAGAGATTTGTGCAACAGACCTTCCCTTCCCTTGGCTGCTGGTACCAGTTTTCCTCTGGCACCTAGGACCCAGGCCTTCGCTCTGGCTGGGCTCCGGCCAGAGCCCCCCACTTCCCACCAAAGCTGTCAGGCTTCGTGGCTCCACTGATCCTGGGGGCGTGAGGCCTCCGGGCTCTGCTGATCCCGGGGGCATGAGACCTCGTGGCTCCGCTGATCCCGGGGGCATGAGACCTCGTGGCTCCACTGATCCCAGGGCCATGAGGCCTCGTGGCTCCTCTGACCCCGGGGGCATGAGGCCTCCTGGCTCCTCTGATCCTGGGGCATTGAGGCCTCGCTGCTCGGCAGGCTTCGGGTATGTTTGGCTTCGCTCCACCCCTTGGAGCCTAGTATGCAAATTTACTGCCATCTTTCTTGGTGGTTAATTTGCATACCACCCTGATTAGCCAATGGGAAGCGTAGCAAATGTACGGTCAATTACCCTTTTTGTCTTTTATTAGATAGGATAGATGATTGGAGTAGTAAACTGAATGTAATGTTGGGATGACATCCCCTGAAAATCACTTTTTGGTAAATTAATGTCCTTATAGCAGCTTGAACACTTACTCTGCCCCTCTTTCTCATCCACATCATGTATTGAATACATGAAGAAAAATGTGATTAGCGGAGTGTCCCAGTTATTTGGGTTTACTTAAATGTGAATTGGCTGTGTCTGAAAAACATCTGCATGTTCTGAAAATAAGCATAAGCAATACAATATCAGGGAGAAAAGGAAATAGATTCTGTTTTAGTAGTAGCTGATTATGCACAAAGTAAATATCTCTTTTGGTGAATCATTGAATAGAAAGCCGCTTTTTTTAATAATAAGAGAAAAAGATACCTATGCCATCCTTATTTTCTTAGCTTTCCTGGAGCTTCATAGTCTCACTGGGGAAAACTCCAAACAGAAGTTATAATTAATATGAAATATATCTCCTCAGTAGCAGGATTTGGATTCTGAAAGTCTGGATACAAGTTAAATATTTCATAGATATCAACACAGGAGGCATATTTCTACTAAAAATATATCTCAGTAAGAAAGTACCCTAACTTTCTTATATATAATAAAGTAATAAAACCCTATTATATATATATATATATATATAATAAAACCCTAATAATGCAAATCAACCAAGCGGCAAAACAACCAATTGCTATGACGCACACTGACCACCGGGGGCAGACGCTCAATGCAGGAGCTGCCCCCTGGTGGTCAGTGCACTCCCACACGGGGAGCACCACTTAGCTAGAAGCCAAGCTTACGGCTGGTGAGTGCAGCGGCGGTGATGGGAGCCTCTCCTGCCTCTGCTGCAGGTTAGCAGTAAGGAGCGAGGGGTCCCGGACTGTGAGAGCCCCAGACCGTGAGAGGGCACAGGCTGGGCTGAGGGACTCTCCCCCCACCAGTGCATGATTTTCATGCACCGGGACTCTAATTTAGATATAAAGCCCTAAGTCGTTAGTCATTAGTCGTTAGTCATAACCTTTGTTATCTATTAAGGATCTCACCATGAAGTGTAATGAAGATGAAAAATCTCTCAGTCCTGAGGCCTTTTCCAAGGTGTCCTTGACCAATCTGCGTAGGTCTGCAGTCCCAGATCTTTCTTCTGACCTTGGCATGAACATTTTTAAGAAGGTGAGTAGAGCCACTTACCCTATTGATATTTTGGTAATAAAAAAATTCATTAGGTGCTTCTAACCATGCTGCTGTATGGGTGGGGTGGGAAAGGACCCCGGGGAACGAAAGTCATCTCCCAGTTTAATCGGTTAACTGCCATGCATCCAAAATGGAAACCATCCCCACACGCCACAATATTTTGAATTTAATTTAAAAACTCATCTGACTCTGGAGTTGAATAAAGGATGCCATCTTCTTCTTGCGAGGTGCTTGGTTCAATTACTTCTTTATCTGATGCCATTTATGGGGATTGAATTTTATTTGCACAATATATTACAATGATAAATTCAACAATAGAATAATGATAATTTTCAATTCTACAGAAATATCAAAAGCGAGCACGAAATAAAAATAAACAGTCGACACAAAAAGCCCCCAAAACACTAAATTTTGTTAATGCGCCAAAGACGAAATCTGTAAATAAATGAAGAATACACACCATGTTTACCATTTTAGGCGTGAAATTCATGATAACACAAACAAATCTCAAGTGTTGCAGTGTTTATCTCTCGCGCATCTGAGTGGCAGCCCTATATATCGATACTGGAATTTCTTCCATATGCGCTGGAATATTTACGAATTTAAGTTACCGTGATTTTCTTTACAAACCCAGAGATGTCACTGACAAGTCTAATTTTAAAACTGGGTGACCAGAGTTGATAAGCGAGGTTTGCGGCTCTACGAGTAGATGCATGTGGCGTGTGGGGAAGGTCCGCCGCTTGTGTCTATAGATGCTTATGGCAAACAAAGGGTTAACACTGGCTTGCAGCATCACCTCTGTGTGCATGCTGATGTGGCTGGTCCAGGGACCACACTTGGAGAAAAACTTTTCTAATCGACCCAGCAAAAACCCCAGGGAACATGCTTCCTTTTTCATTCCTTTC